TACTGTAATTACACCAGTGTTAGTATATTAATGGTACTGTAATTACACCAGTGTTAGTATATTAATGGTACTGTAATTACACCAGTGTTAGTATATTAATGGTACTGTAATTACACCAGTGTTAGTATATTAATGGTACTGTAATTACAACAGTGTTAGTATATTAAGGGTACTGTGATTACACCAGTGTTAGTATATTAAGGGTACTGTAATTACACCAGTGTTACTATGATTATCCAACATTGTTTTCGAGATATGATTTGTTATGTTAGTTGGGAATGTTACTGAGATGATTTATTTTGTAAAATATTGAAGATGCTTGATTTTTGGTAAGTTAGAAGCGGTGATAATCGGTGCCACATTAAGGCAACTAGTGCCTCCCCCCCCCCCGATTATGAGAAAATACCATACAATTTTAATAAAGTGAACTCATTAGTGATAAAAAATTAAGGAAATAAGAAAGAGAAATGTACATATTTTAAAAAATCTGGTTTATTATTATTTTATTATACAATTTGTATTTTATTACTTATTATTACATTCGCAACGCACGGTGGGCCCTGGGCAACAACTCCTTTTGTCTATTGCATAAAACAGCCCTGATGATAAGTATAATCCTAACTTCGAATCTCATCAAATTCAGCTTAAAGAAAAAAAAAGGTTCTAAAGTTAAAGTTAATCACCTAGCTTCCAAAATCAAGGAATAGTTATTCGTGGAAAGTTGGTAAAAGTTATAAGTTAGTGCTGATGTGTCATTAATACATAATAATGTTTCACTGATGTAAAACACGAACGAAATGGATTACAGAAGATAAATCACTTGTTTAGAATACAGATTTATGGAACTGTTAAATAATTCGTGTATTAATTTTATAGTTAAGCACCTTAGCTCTGTTCTTCGGATATTAATTTGCTTCTTTTTATGTGGGAAATATATTTTCATGCTCTAGTCCTTATGAGATTATTTAATTTTGTGTATTAATATTTTTCATTCACGAGCTTCTACCTCACTTGTATTTATAATACTTTTATTAACGTAATTTCTGATGTAACTTTTCTATAGTTTTTGGGGATTTCCATTGCTAAACTTCATGCATGTTTTACAATTTCAGCTATGGAGAACTCCAGGAGCGTAATTCCAAAAAAGGTGGGGGGCAAAGAATACTGACCTCGCGTGGGGTTCCCAATTCAGCTGGGACTCTTCGCTATGTCGTAATTTGCGTATACGACCTGATTAGAAACGTTTCACAGAAACTGACATTTGGGACCCCTCTCCCGAACTTGGGGAGCCACCCCCTCTTCCAAAGTGACGTTTCTAGAACACTCGCGAGACTGTAAAAATGAGAGTAGTGTGTATTGTAGCATTATGAATGAATTTCTTTCTTTTTTATTTTCAGGGAGCAAAGATAACCAGGTCGTCACACTTTGAATACGAATTTTTTCTGGGTCACAGAATAGTGTTCATATGTGTCGCGAGAGGTGACCCACGGCCACGAATCACTTGGTATAAAGATAGCATTGAACTGTACGAACATCCGTATCTCCAGGTGGGTTAAATTTTATATAAACGTAATGTATTTATGTGATATGCACGCCCCCTACCGGTGGCTCAGTGGTAAGCTCGAGGACTCGTAATGTTAAATTTTGGGAGCCGATCCCTGTAGTGGACAAAGCAAAGATAGCTGATTGTGCAACCTTGCGCTTAACAATGTATTTATTTGATATGCATGCCTCTACCGGTAGGTCAGCGGTATGCTCGAAGGTTTATATTGTTATATTTCGGGATTCGATCCCTAGGGTGGGCAAAGCAAAGATAGCTCATTGTGCAACCTTGCGCTTAACAATGTATTTGTTTGATATGCATGCCCCCTACCGGTAGGTCAGCGGTATGCTCGAAGGTTTATATTGTTATATTTCGGGATTCGATCCCTAGAGTGGGCAAAGGAAAGATAACTCATTGTGCAACTTTGCGCTTAACAACAATTAAGATGAACAAGAAGTTATCAAAACAATCAAACAACTCGGTTAGTTGAAAGAAAAGTCACACTGGACTATCTGCTGTGTCCACCGCGAGGAATCGAACCGCGTATTTAAGCGTTGTAGGTCCATAGAATTAGCGCTTTTCCACTGTAGGGGGGACCAATCGTACAAACTTCCACGTAGTATTTTATAATCGAGACTTGGCTTTGTGGAAATCAATAATTATTTGATGATTGGCTTCTTTCAAGTATTTGTTCTATAACTCCATTTTTTTCATATCTGCTCATTTCCCTGCTCATACTGAATCACGTTTAACATTCACCGAGACATTTTTCTCCGAATAAGATTTAATATTCTCTTAGTCTGTTTCCACTGAATCTCGTTAAGTATAAACCGCCTCTGTTTTCGCTGAATGTCGTTAAATTATGCGAGATCATTTTGACAGAATTGGGTTTTTTCTAAATTTACAATTAATACTGTAATTTCCTAGTAAGTATCACAACAAAATAACTGCGTTCAAAATATCAATTTTAACAATTATTAAATATTCTAAGATCCTTATTCATAAATCTTTTAAACATTTCCATGTAGTTATTCTTACGAAGTTTTCTTTTGTTATATATATATATATATATATATCTTTTTTGTAAAGTACGATCGATTCTTGTTTCAGTCGTATTAATTCAATACTAAGCAGATATCTTGAACACTTTAATAACGTCGTGATCAGCTTTACGATGAAACTGATTTTTTGAAACAATTAAAACTGCGAAGTTTCAGCCCATAAGAGCAAGCCTTCTTCAGGTAATGTATGGGCTGTATAGCTAACCTTTAAAAGTCAACGAATTCAGTTTTTATCAAATAATGCACGAACTGAAAGAGCGAAACTTCTAACCTTTTGGCTTGCTAATCTGCGAAGATAACGGGAATAAAACTATTGTAAACATTATGTAATATTTTTTTACATTAACGACGCTTTACACACAGGCTGTACTGCCAGATCAAAGACATAGCCATCTCTAATTTAGAGCTGCTAGCCAAAGAAGCGCAATCAATCAACAGCACTCACCGCCTAAAGGACTACTCTTAACCAAATATCAGGATTGGCTATCATTTTTAACGCGCCCATAGCTGGATGTGCGGAGTGTTTTTAGCGGCAAATTGCGAGTTCGAAGCTCCTTGGTGGGAAGCCCGTAACGCTAACTACTGGGCCCCGTCTGGACCTATTTTCAAAAATGATTAAGTTAGATTTTTGATACACTTTAACAGGAAGCTTTTTTTTAAGAATCTATAATAATACAAAATTAAACGTTTACTTGCTACATGTCATTATTTTACAGATATCTGAATGGCACCATGGGAAAGCTAAGCTAAAGAGCAAGCTAGAAATCACTCCCGCCAGACAAATGGATTCAGGAACTTATGAATGTCAAGCCAATAACAAGTACGCCGTCGACAGAAAAATCTTCAAAGCAGATTTCTCTTCTTACTCTTAAAAAACACAATATTTTGTTTAAGATCTATAAGTTGTATTAACTAGTGCTATCTATCGGTTGTTTTAGAAACTTTCACGTAGTTATAATATATTTAATATAGCTCATAATGTGTCATTTAAAACAATCATTAAAATATGAAAAGTTCAATGTTGCCGCAATAAGGGAAAAATATATATGTATATATATATATATTCTGACAAATAATTAGTGTAATTTAAAGCTTTTTAATGGCGTCTAAAAGAACAGTAATCAACTTATTATCTTCTCATGTCGGTGGTTTAAAGATGATACCCGAGTCTATCCATTCTTATCTTATTTTGCTTTTATTTTTACCAGTAACTTTTGTCAATAGAAAAGATTTAAGGTATACTAGTTTCAGTTAAATTCATCCATCTCTAGTACTAAGGAATTATTTGGTGCTTGTCATTTGAACCCGTGTAGCATTTCTAAAAACTTACTATGTCAATCACACTTAAACAACCATATCCATTGCTGACGAGACCTTTCGCTCAATACCTGGGCTCAACAGGCTGGCTGGGATATCATCATTTGCATGAACAACAATTGTTATGATGGGAACCACTGAAAGGAGTGTAATTATTATTATTATTATTTTATTTACAAATTAGAATTAAAGTAAGGATTCATATTACAATATATATATATATATATTACTTTTTTCAACACCAAAGTATTTATTATTATTATGGGAAGGTCGCCTAATGGAAATAACAAGGAAGTTAACTCATGGGTAGATATCACAATTTCTGTTAATTCGACATTTTAAGAAAACTTTAGTGACAGGGAAACGTCAACCTAGTTGCTTTGACAAAGCAGAATGAGAAGTGGAGATATAAAGTGTGTAGATAAATATTTATGAACATTTAAGTAGCTTAAAGAACTCTGATATAGTTATAATGATGTCGTGCCTATAGTTCTAGAATTTAACAACCCAAAGTGTAATTTCAAAACGTACCGTTCCCAAGATGCTCTATCCAAATCAGCGTATTACTTGACAAAACGTCCCTATCAGCATGTTATCGATGTTTCAATAGCGACATAAAATGTGTATCCTAACAAGTTAATGAAACAAAACAAGTTAACAAACAAAAACACATTAATGTAAGTAACTTTTGAAATAATTGATCATAAATTTAAAAAAATATATACATGATAATCTTACATTTTTGATATGTATTAGTTTTGATGTGACTTTTACAAATGACGTTTGAACTCATGTAAAACATCAAAAGAATGACATCTAACTATATTCAAATAAATATGCGTGTTTTGAAAGTGTACTCATCGATAACAAAATACACAATGCACATAAAATCAAGACAATGCTCTTGAAAGAATTGCTCTACAAATCATATTGGATACAAAAGAACAATGAGACAGGCATTCCTTCTTTATTAAGATAAGTATAATCATCGCTTGTTCAATAGTTAAACCTATAATTATCGATTGTTAAAGAGCTAGGCCTATAATTATCGCTTGTTCAAGAGCTAGGCCTATAATTATCGTTTGTTCAAGAGCTAGGCCTATAGTCATCGCTTGTTCAATAGCTAGGCCTATAGTCATCGTTTGTTCAATAGCTGGGCCTATAATTATCGCTTGTTAAAGAGCTAGGTCTATAATCATCGCTTATTCAAATGCTAGGCCTATAATTATCGCTTGTTCAAGAGCTAAGCCTATAATTATCGTTTGTTCAAAAGCTAGGCCTATAGTCTTCCCTTGTTCAATAGCTAGGCCTATAGTCATAGTTTGTTCAAGAGTTAAGCCTATAATTATAGCATGTAAAAGAGCTAGGCCTATAGTCATCGCTTGTTCAAGTGCTAGGCCTATAATTATCGCTTGTTCAAGAGCTAGGCCTATAGTTATCGCTTGTTCAATAGCTAGGCCTATAGTCATCGCGTATTCAAGAGCTAGGCCTATAGTCACGAGCGGGGGCTAGTATACAAAAACTTCAGTTTAATTCCTAAAACTTAGTTTCCGTGAACAATGCAGCACTGAACCATGCTGAGAATGATAAGATAGAGTTTAGTTCATGTTTTGCGGCTGTATCATTTTTAGGCAGCAAAGCTCTCAGCTATGATTGTTACATACCCATGAACAGCCACCAAAGGAACAGTTGTCAGACGACAAATCTGTAAGCGATAATTAACGCTGCGTTAGTCTTCTGTAAAAATTTTCATAGTCACTCTTCTATTATTTTGGAAACAAAAAGCATTAACACTCAAAATCTTTTCCTTTATTAATCAATAATTGAATATTGAATTTTACAACATGTTTCTTTTACCACCTAAACTAAGTGTAACAATTTAACATAAACTAGCCTAATACTGAAGCTACTGAGAACAACAGACATGTACTTGCTCCCATCTGTCGGCGCCGGTGTTTACAAAATATTTGGGGCCCGTGAAGACTCCAGAAGACTAATGCAGGGTTAAAAAATACTATATATAGGCACATGCTCTAATACAATGTTTTATCAATCATTCCTTAACTTAAAATAATATGAAAGAAGCGAAAACCGAAAGCAATCAGAACGCATCTATCCAGTGAAAAAAATCGTGGGTTCGAATCTTTCCTGTTTCACTCTTCATTCCCTTAGATTCATGTAGTAGTAGAGCAATGTTTCGATTTTGTTGTTTCTATCGTTAAGACTTAATATGAATTAATATTACGTATTTAGTTAAGCATAAGTTGGTATGTTTTTAATATGTTCATATTTCCTCATTACCCTCCTCATGCATCATTTCCAAAACTTTTGTCATCCACTCACCCTTCCCCTATTTTTAATGAGTGAAAGAGTGAGTTAAATGACGAGATGTAATATACTGGTACACATTGAAATGCTATATGTGTTGTTGTAATTATTTAATAAATGATAATGAAAATTATATTAAAACACTTAATTTTGCATTATTGCACTATTGACTCTACCGTCTGTCTTTAACATTTTATATACCTTCCTTTTGGACAAAGGTAAGCGGATATTAATCAGTCTCATCATAACGATGACCATTCGATTTTACCACATTTTAAGGTCCTTAAACAAAGCCAATCTGTAGTTGCGGGACATTTAAATTGTATATATGCGCTTATATTATATGTGAATAGAAAAAAACACATACACACAAACAAGAAGTTATTCCAGTGTCCTTATTCAAAATTGTATAATTATATCGATCTCGCTATTGTAGGATGAAAATAGATTAATAATTATTACGAACTTACTTGCAACTATTTTAGTAAAGATGAAAGTACTTTGCATGAGCTGATTATAACATTCCCCCACTAAACTTCCCAGCAAATATTAAAGTCCAGATCTTGTGCAATTTCACTATCCTGACCCACTTTAATAATAACTTTTTTTGTGTGTGTGTTCCTCAAATGATTACAAATTATAAGGTGTCAATTCAAAAATATATTTGTATCTTATAGATACTTTGGTTTGTTTGTCATAATTTAATGATTGTGTGTATTGTATTTGTAAATAAATGTGAATATAAATAAAAAAACACAAAAATAAATGTTTGCAAACTGAAGGAGTGGATACTATACAATATTTAGGCTTGCAAATCGATAAAAATTTAAGCTGGAAACATGTTAAGGATTTGGCAAAAATACCAAAATTTATGTTCCTTGAAATATATTATTTGAACACATTGTTAAGTGTTCAGATGTTAAGAAGTCTTTATTTCTCATTGAAGCAGACAGTATTTCAGTATTAAATTTTAATATGAGGAGACACTTATCCAAATACTAAAGCCAGATGTTTAATTATAGAATAATATTCTACAAGCATAATATTATATAATCATGAAAAAATATATAACACGCATATTTGGCTGAAGATATTTATTAATACATAGAATATTATTATTAACAATGAATGAATGAAAGATATTACTCCCAAATAAAAAATTGTTTATCCTATCATAATACAGGGATTAAAATACAAACTTCCAATAGTTAAAAAAGATTATGCATAAATAATTTTATTAATTAGCATTAAAATTATTTAATAATTTACTCTTAATGATGAAAATAATATAACTAAATTTAAGGTACTTGTAAGAGAATGACTGATTAAATATAATTTTTTTAGGAAAATAAAATTATTGTTAACTTGCCCCCAATGGCTTGTCTGTGGGTTTAAAAATCCGGTTTTCAATACCCGTGGGTGGCACATCACAGATAGCCCATTGTGTAGTTTTGTGCTCAGCTACAAATAAACACCGTTAACTTAAATATGATTAAGTAAAATAGTAAATAAAGCTAAAAGTTTTTGGGTTAATTATAAGTTATATTGTATTTATAAATGAATATAAATAAAAACTAAAAAATAAATACATCTTGTACTATCAGCTAAAGCACAATGATGCTAGTTCTGTCCCCGGTTGGAAAATTTTCATTTTAACTATGTTGGGTGCTGGTAACATCTTATGTTCTCTTTGAATTATATAAAGTATTATTTTTGTGACACAAATTGTACAAACAGCAAGTCCCTAAACTCTTTCATTAAAATATCTTTATCATTCATAACTACTCAAATAGCTAATTTCGATAGTTCATCCATGGAAAGAAAACAATTAACATATTTCAATGTGTCGTTCGTAAATCTCTCAACTTTCACAAGCACACAACTTTATAAATTGGGTTCTGGGAAAGATGGAAACTATGCCAGAATTGCTGCTAATGGATAGTTTTGCAACTTATTTGTGATAGCAAATGGAGCAAAAAACGGTTCTTGTGAAGCGCGTTGTTTTTTTTTACGCTCGTAGAAATGATGAAAATTGTGTACGACCTCTAAATACACGAGGTAATCTATTTTAAAATGTCACAGTTGTACTGGGTCTGAAAAATATTGTTAAAATGAAATTTCACATAAATGTTGAGGTTATAAAATTATTTTCCGATCTCTAAATATTTCAAAAACAAATGATGCAATACTCATTATTCTGAGTTTATATTAACAGACTTTCTGTTAAGTTTCGTTCAGCTATTTTAATCAACCACAGTCCAACCGTGAAATAACTGTTCATTCAGTAAAAGAAGACCAAGGAATTGACCGATAAAAAGTGTACATCTTCCAAGACAGAAGAGACTCGGATAAGGTCACGAATTTTGTGTGCAACTAAATTTTAATCATAGCTATACATCTGTAACACAAAGCTTTCATGTTTATAAAACGATTCGCACCAAAACAAAAACCTCACTTTTTTTTATTTCTTTAGAGTAATTACGAAAATAACGATGTGTTACTCTTCACATTTTTATCGCATAGTCTTAGCCATCGGTCAACCAACCACGAATCGAGAAATTTGCTGTCGTATCTCCTAGTGTCTAATTGGTGTTCTTTAAATAATTAACGGTTGTTTTAGTGTACTGTCAACGTAGAATGGTATTGAAAATTATACTATAAGTAAAATGTTATTATTTACTATAAAATATTTTGTGTACAAGTGAAATAAAGGTTTAAGCATGAAAAAATTGACTTCTTGGTATTTAGTAACTCTTAAAAAATATTCTCTAAAGTTTTATAAAGCTAAACGACCAGGTCAAGTACAGCAGTATGTATTTTGAACAGATGAAAGACAGCCAGCAGTATTGACCGCCATAAGGACTTTGTCAATTAGGAACGCTTAACGTTGCAATTTGTACTATTGTGACGTCAGTAAAACGTGCGCATGCAATTAATCACGAGAAAAATTACGCACTCTGTAAGACAACACAGCATAACATGCGAATTTCAAAAGCAAGAAATAAAAACATTTATTACTCTTAATTTTTGTTTTATTTATTCTTGAAACAGAACACTTTCGGGGACCCTGCGGAAGTACATCTGGTTATGGTATATTCTATTACTTTTGTAACGATCTCACACCTGCAAGTCCGATACGTATTCAGTCCTGGAACTTTCGATCAGCAGCCGGAGACACAAATCAATGGGCCACAAAACAGATATTAACGAATACTTCTTGTCGTGTTAGATTAAGGATAATAATACAAATTAATAGTTTCAAAGAGGGCTAAAAATATCGTTAAAGAAAAGGCTCTCT